CTACATCTTGTCACGTACAACTGGGGAATCGAAACCCCACCAGTTGACTCAATGACAGACCCCATGATACAGCGCAGCACACCAAAATGAAATGGGGTTTAACATCCTACTTTTCTGCACCAACTGGGCTATACACCATGCAGTGTGCTATTAGTTAAATTTTGCACAAACAGAATGCCTACTCTTATTTCAAATTCCAACTGTCAAGGGTTCTTTTACATGCACACCCCAATGCCCACAGTTTTTGGTTCCATTCGAATGACTGGACACTGTTCATTGCCAGGATCTCTTTGTTAGTGTGCAAGCACCTTAATCACTGAGTCTGTTTTTTTGTTGTGGAAGTTAGTCAAGTAGTAGCCCAGAATTTAACTTGTGACGTGCCTACACATCAGAACTATGACACATAGTGTAAAGCCTTTTGATCTCCAAATATACCTGTTACAATTTGGCCATACCTTCAATTATTCAGCCATTCAGTGAAACACCACCCCCACCAAACACACTATTTAGCCAACACCCCACTATTAGCCTCCCCATTCCTATTCGATAACCACCTCTCTATTTGGCAACACTACCCAGATCATACTAAACTTAGGCTGTCTGTCTATAGTCAGCTCCACTTAACAGACACTAAGCTACTTAACCAACATTTTAAGTCCTAAATCGCCGATTTTAGTGGAAAACACTGAGTATATTTCGAGAATTTTGAGAAGCATATGTTCTCTTTTCATTTAATAAAATTGAAAAGGTTTATTTAGTGTATAACAGATGTCAACCGGAGTAGGACTGCATTACAATACCCTGTACCATTCTACAATACCCTGTACCATTCTACAATACCCTGTACCATTCTACAATATACCCAATACCAATTATCAATAAATAACGTCACCCATAGTAACTTACGAATGTAGACTGTGAACTCCTCCTTCTATTTGAGCAGACGTTGTTCTTCGTTCAAATTTTAATTCTCCAGAATACATCATAGACCTGGAAGATATTACGATTAAACTTGACTGAATTTTTATAAACAACATCCAGTAAATACAGTTCTACATGGTACATGATTTAACTAGAATATATCATACAACTCTACATGGAACAACTAGAATATATCATACGTGTCTACATGATTTAACTAGATTATATCATACAACTCTACATGGTACATGATTTAACTAGTAAATATCATATCGGCTCTACATGGTACATAGTTTAACTAGATATCATACCATCTCTACATGGTACATGATTTAACTAGTAAATATCATATCGGCTCTACATGGTACATAGTTTAACTAGATATCATACCAGCTCTACATGGTACATGATTTAACTAGTAAATATATCGGCTCTACATGGTTTAACTAGATATCATACCAGCTCTACATGATTTAACTAGAATTTACATCCCACTTCTACTCGTTGCCACTGGCAACCTTTGATGAAACTGTCCTGTTTATTTTCAATACATGCTTAAAAGTATCCGTGTATCAGAAATATACAGAAAGAGTACTGTTCATTTCTGATACACGGATACTTTTATACTGCTTTAGATACCTATCAAGCTACTTATAATTTTATACTGCTTTAGATACCTATCAAGCAATAAGTAGCGGACGTTTAGTTCAACCCAGATCACAATTGATAACGATGGCTCTATACAATGCACACAGATAATGTCCATGAAACAACTACTCAAAATCATAGTAACAAAACAAACCGCGGGGAACTACATGGCAGTTCAAAAACATATACAATGACATTAAATTAACATAACAACATATTACAAAAATCAATTATTATACATATCAATTGGCATCTATTTCATAATTTGGTTTGATTTATATTAATATGCAAAATATATAAATTAGAATATTGAATAATTATTTTAATTAATTGTGATGATAGAAGGCGCAGTTCTCTTGCTGGACACTTCACAGGCATTGAAAATAAGCAGGATGAAAAAAAAAACGCCTAGAAAGTCATAAACTTTATTACAAATAAATTTCAACGGAAGAACCATCCGCCCATGCATACTTTCACCAGGAATGACCCACGTTTCGCATTTCCTTTACACTACATTTAATAATATCGCAGTCCTCTATGCCATAGACAAGTTGTTTTGACGATGTGGTCTAAACAAACACGTGATTGTTTTACGCTCAGAATATCATAGCAAGACGCACGTGTAAATACTACTCAGGTCGTCTCTCCACTGCGAAATCATTCTACCATGAAATGTAACGTGATGCTCAGAAAGGGATAAATGAAAGAGCAGAAAGTATTTGTCACTTTTCGGTTGAAACGACTCGATAATAAATACTATTTTTCACATTTTGCTTCACAAAATGGCCCCTCGACCAAAACTGTCCTGATATTCACCGATACACCTCGGAAAGTGTGCTAATAACTATTACATATCACACCAGCTCTACATGGTACAACTAGAATATATCATACCAGCTCTACATGGTACATGGTTTAACTAGATTATATCATACCAGCTCTACATGGTACATGGTTTAACTAGATTATATCATACCAGCTCACATGGTACATGAGTGTTAAGTATACATCAAACCAATGTACTACATTCCGCATCAACTGAGAAAATGAAGGAAATTTCACCTGGACAGCAGCCTTTTTGTCTACTCTTATCTCAAATTCCAGCTGTCAAGTGTACACAAGACCCTAGTTTTTTGGCCCATCCAAAGGACAAGACACATATGAAGAATGAACAATTTACCTTAAAATGGAAAGACTTTTAGCTCCAATATCTTGACAGCCATGTTTGATACCTGCTATTAGATAGGGAACAAACTTTTGGACGGATCCTTTGTCAACAATATTTCCTGATACACCTTGTGCTACTTTTATTTTATCACTGTCACTGGAAAAGAAAACAATTAAAGATAACTAGTCTCTATCATTCAGATAAATATTCTACGAATATTAGTCTGGATGCATTGTCAACATTTGAGAATAATAGGTCATTGGCTAGATTATTCGGTCTTTTACATTACCATACATAAAGTCTGAGGGAGGTAACTAGTCCTAAAACAAGATGTTGATGCCCATGAATTAATTCAAAAATACCATTTCAAAAAATCCATTTGATTTGCATGCCAGTTCAATATCCAACACTCTTATATATTTTTTTTTGTCGTAAAATTTCTCTCTTCATGGGCCATATTATGTTTTTTATATTAATCCTAATTCGTCGTCACGATTCATGGTTGTTTATATTAATGTAAAAATTATGGGATTTATTGCGGGAAGGGCGCAACTCTTAATTGTCTTGACCAAGGATACTGAATAATCAACCCCATTAAAAACCAAACTCTCGGTTATGCATGGACAATTCGTCAAATATTGACCATGGCCCCCAGACCCTCCCTACGTTGAAGACTAGGAGGTTCTGGGTGACCAAGGATCTAAAAGATAACAGGCAATAAAAGGGAGAGAGAAAGGGGGTTTAACATCCACTTGACACAAACTAAGTCATTTAGGGACCACTTGGCTCAATGAAAAAACTTATCACTGTTACCCGGGTATCATTTAATCTTGTGTATCTAGCACTAATTTTTGTCACATTTGTTTAATGTCAAATCTTTGTTAAAAATTTGTAAAAATCGTTTAAAGTCACCAAAAATAATCTAATTTGTACTTGTGTACAGTTGAACGGAACTGAACAATTTTTGGACTAATACTCGTTTTAGAGAAAAAACATTCACAAGATTAAATGTCGATCAGAGACGTTTTATAAAAGAGGTCTCCATCCTTTAAACAAGGTTTCAAAAATACCCCACATTTTACCTAAAATATCTACTCTGACTACTTCTGTGTGCTTCCATCGCATCTAACGAACCCATACCGCGATATTTCTTTAATCTGACGCCATCAGCGAAGAAATATTCTCCTGGTGCTTCAGATGTTCCCGCTAATAACGAACCCATCATTACTAAAAATAAAGCAAATGTAAATTATAATTCTTGAACATGCTTGATGGGTGGAGGGGGGGAGAGAGAGAGAGAGTGAGAGAGAGAGGGGGCTTAACGTCCATTTGACACAAACTAGGTAATTTCGGGATTAACATATGGTCAAATTTTATTTCAATACTTTGCATGCGTGTAGGGGTCTCTTTAGCAGTGGCAGGAAACCGAAGAACATTGAGAAAACCCACGAGATTGGACAAGTGACCCTACTCCTTGTCACGTAAAACCAGGGAATCGTAACCACGGCAGTTGACGCAATGTCAGACTTTTTGATACATCGGGCAGACACTAACTATTCGGTAATTCAACCCCTCTGATGGCTCGGGAAAGGAACACATGTATTACGACAATAAAACATGAACGAACGAATGTATGAACAATCATCCGCATGTTTAACATAACAGATCATTACATGATAAAGACCTGAGTAGCCTAGTCAAAACATTGCTCATAAACAAACAGAATTTATATTCCACAGAATTGTGACCGATGTATTTCCAGTTCAGTTACAAAATGCCATCGAAAAAAATGTCTGTATTTGGAGTACATGACTGAACTCTGTATCAGGAGTACATGACTGTATATTGTATTTGGTGTGTATAACTGGATGTTGTATCAGGAGTGTATGACTGGATGTTGTGTAATATTGCTGTTGAGTGGCATTAAATCACTTTACACTTACCTGTAGATGCCCCTAAAGATAAAGCTTTCATACAATGGCCGACAGATGATATACCACCATCTGCAATGACAGGAACGCCAAATCTTCTGGCATATTCTGCTACTTTATATACAGCTGTACCCTGTGGTCTACCCACTGCCATTACTGTAATACACAAGACAATACCCAATATACACATACACAGCTGTGGTCTACCCACCGCCATTACTGTAATACACAATATACAGCTGTGGTCTACCCACCACCATTACTGTAATACACAATATACAGCTGTGGTCTACCCACTGCCATTACTGTAATACACAATATACAGCTGTGGTCTACCCACCGCCACTACTGTAATACACAATACACAGCTGTGGTCTACCCACTGCCATTACTGTAATACACAATACCCATCGCCATTACTGTAATACATAATACACAGCTGTGGTCTACCCACCGCCATTACTGTAATACATAATACACAGCTGTGGTCTACCCACCACCATTACTGTAATACACAATACACAGCTGTGGTCTACCCACCGCCATTACTGTAATACACAATACACAATATACAGCTGTGGTCTACCCACCGCCATTACTGTAATACACAATATACAGCTGTGGTCTACCCACCGCCATTACTGTAATACACAATACACAGCTGTGGTCTACCCACCGCCATTACTGTAATACACAATATACCTAATATACAGCTGTGGTAGTGTAATATCATTGGGGACTGGGAGGGGCCTTACAAGTGATATAGCCTAGCAACTCTCTTTGTCTATCTTTGCCATGGTAACCATACAGAAACAAAACATGGAATCTGCTGAATGACTGAATGTAATTTATAAATTTGAATAAACTAACCTTCCTGTGTAATACAGATAGAACCACTACCCATACCCACTCGTAACCCATCAACATCGGCATCTATCAGATTCTTCGCTTGTGCTGCTGTCACAACTGTAAATAACAATAATATTCCATAGCAATCTTCTATTGATTAGATTGTAATCCAAAGAAAAGTTTTAAATCTATTTTAGACGCTTTTTCTCATAAACATTTAACTGTTGTTGAAACTTCCAATTCCAATTATATAAGTCTGTCAATTTCACTGTCAGTCAACTTATTCTCCCATTCATTTATAGTCAACAAAATATCTCTAAAAATCATTGCAATTTCCACGTGACTAATACATGTATAATTGCAACAGAGGAGTTCCTTGAACAGGATATGTAGCACCATTTAAGGAAATCCAGCAATCACTTTCGAACGACACTTTCAGGCAAGCTATTTTGTCACATTTAATTTGTCTACTCTTAGTTTAATCTAATTTTTTTTTAACAGCTACCCTGTGAGATCCGTGATTCCTCTCCATTAAACATGCCATTAAATTTTCCCTAATGTTTGTTTTAAACATGCATGCAATTTATAAAATGCTGGAAGATGTCAAAGAGAGTTAGATAAACAAGCAGGAGTAAAAGGAATACAATAGGAATTAATATAACATACTGAACAACAGAAAGGAATAGCAGGAATACAATAGGAATTAATATAACATACTGAACAACAGAAAGATAGATTGCTATGCAAAGAAACGGATGCCATTACCCAGTAGTGAGTTAAACAGCACATGTAAATTTTAAAAAGATCAGACAACAACTTTAAAACCATTAAGGGGTTAACAAGATTCTGTAACCAAGGGGAATAACTCTTGTGTTATTATCAAAGACAATTGAAAATCCATTGGTTTTCTTATGAATAAGGTAAACATCCAATATACATTTCAGAAAGATGGGTTGGTTACTAATTGCAACCTTTAAAGATCTAACAAAATTTCTAAACAAAGGGGGATAACTCTGGAGTTGACTATCATAAACTTTCTTCCTTAGATGACATAAACATTTCAGAAAGATCTGATCATAATTAAAACCATTTTTGTGTCAACAAAAAGGTTAACAAAAGACTGACAGACAGCAGAATACAGCCACATAACCATGGCGACAGCAGAACACAACAACATCAACATGTGTGCAAATAAAAATTAAAAAACAATAAACATTGAAAAGATAAAGCAGACAGTACAAAACAATAAGTGAATAGAAATGGAGTTTTATGGCACGTCAGCTCCAACCGGGCTATATGGTGCCAAACACATGGTGACTTTGACGAGACAAATTAAATCAATATCACATAAATATATTTATATACATAAATAAAAACAAGTATCACAGACAATGTTGTTAAAAATAAATATAAATAAATATAAGTCCCCTATGTATATAAATAATTAAAAACAAAAATACGGATATATATATACAATTAAAATTTGTAATAAAAGTTTGTCTCTTTTAAAAAGTTTAACAATTTTCCATACAGCTCTGGTTGAGAAAATAATTGATGTAGTGACTGGCAACGGTAATAGTTTGATCTTACATTCTTGAGATGATTGCACTCAATCAAAATGTGAATAGTTTCCAAAATAAGAATGGTTATGATAATATAACACAAGCCCCCAACAAGAGCTGCATTTATTACACAAATAAAAGATTAAGTATATTAGGCTTTCTCTTTTCAAATATTTTGTGTCTAACTTTAATTCCCCTTATTAAATTATATTTTTTCATTAAATTTTGTTAATGTATTTAAATTAGACCTGCTGATCTTCATTTTTTGGAAAAAATTTTTTCTATAATATCTAATTTTTCATGGCTTACTTCAAGCGAAAGTGTGCTCAGATAAAACCAAAACAGCCTGAAACCAAAATATTCCAAAATATTGTCAAAAGAACCAGAACTGAAATATTTGTTATATAATACATTTATATCATCATTAGATAATGCCGGATGTTTTAAAATTTTCAATTTATCATAACTTTATAAATACGAACAGAATTCAATGATTTCAGAGATCCAATTTCCCCATTTTTGTAGTTTCCAAATGATAATCAGTGACTATAAAGAAGCTAAGTCTCTAACTCAATACTTTATATAATCTTCGAAATTAAAAACAATATTGATCAATTTCAATCAATATTGATGTTGTTATCTTCTCGTGAAAATATGGGATTCCAATATTTCAGATTCAATTAACATTTTATAATCAGTACACGATTAGTGTACCCTATGGTTTTGGGTGTCATTTTGTAACGAACAAATAAAAACATATCCTACAACTTTAGGCTGATTCACAAACGACAAAAAAATAAGTTAAAAAACGTGTAGAATGTACTAAGCAGGCGTAAACGACTGCCGTTCAATTTGAACTGTTCACATATTTCACCGAACATAATTGTTTAGAAATTACAACATTTGTTTTAAAAACTGAATATAAATTACTTTACATACATTCATAACATTAATATGTGCTTTTAGAACCCCATTTTCATCTATTTCAAGGTTCCAAAAAATAGAGCCATACGTCTTTTATAAGGTTTTAGGTGCCTTGATGCTATTAATCATGCTATAAATACGCCCTGTATTAAACTTACCACTGCCACCCTCGTTGCATATTTCTGTAAAAGGACCAGGACTCAAATTAAAACCACGAATAAATTCATGAGAGACGTCCAATATTATTTTTAGATAAATGTTCTCGAAAAATCACACGTATTTTAACATGATTCAGAAATATCCTGTTGATTCAAGATTGATAAGATTTTTTAAAATTTTGAAAGCAGACTAAAGTATTTAAAAAATAAAAGGTCCTGGTCCTTTTGTAATAATATACTGTATTTAACACAATTACGATCTCGTCGCTCATTATTATGACAGTTTCTAACTAAATGAAGTGAAATGAAATGGCCTACTGTTCTGCACCGACTGGGCTGATGAAGACAGACATATGCCATAAAGTGTGCTATGAGGGAAATTTTGTCATCATTGGGATTGAATGAAGAATCTTCTGGTTAGATTTAGTCACTGAGCCACTGTGGCCTCCAGCATTACACACTGAGCCACTGTGGCCTCCAGCATTACTCACTGAGCCACTGTGGCCTCCAGCATTACACACTGAGCCACTGCAGCTCCTAGAATTCCAATATAGCATATGAATAATCCAAAGAGCAGAGGAATTCAGAAGTTCTGTCGTTTACATGCCTGCTTTCAAGAAAAACCAGGAAGAATGCGGTTATCAACAACAGTACACACAATTAGTGTTAATTGTAAACTAAGACAATAAAAAATAAAGCACACAAAACTAAAAGAGTACTCTATTATTATAGGGAAGCAAGAATTTTATGGAGAATTTTTCTAAAATAATATTGCACATCTCTCAAAAATACAATCTATTATTCATACTATATATATGTTAGTAGCACTCACAAAAAGCATTCAGATAAAATTATGTTATTATGGTGTGATAATACTAATAATTATCAATTTATATATCGCAAAAATACTTTATGCTAGTTTCTATTGCGCTTGACTAATTTGACCAGATTTATTCACGGATGACAAGCCTGATTGAAAAGAGGAGTTTAAAGCTGAGATTTGAAACTTTCTATAATCTTGGACATCCTAATTGACAAAGGTAGTGAATTCCATAGATACGAATAGGGACTGCCAAGCAGATATGAAAGCGTTTATATTCATGGTCACTTCCTGTAATGTGTCATGGGTCATATAAAGAATCTCAAAAAGAAAAATAATTTTAAAAATCAGTCAAAAGCTCGCGAAGTTGTAAGCTAAAATATAGTGAAAAGCATTTCAGCCAGGCGAAAAAATAATCTGAAAAATAAGGGAGATTACTGAGACTTATATTACTGGAATCGTATTAATTTCCCGTTTCAGAAAAATCGATCAAGCTGTTTTCAAACGGGAAGGATCAGAAAATGAAATGGAAATGGCGGGAAAGAACTAAAAATGGTGTGAAAACATCGAATAATAAAGTGAGATAACTTTAAATGAAACCTCAAACTTTTGGAATTAGATTCGCCTCAACTGTTTGAATTCTATCCAGGCCTGCTGAGCGTAAAATGTCTGATCAAATACAGACGTCGTGATTGAAATTAAAATAAAAAACTCACCGTTACCACCAATAATCTGTACACCAGGATATTTCTGTTTTATATAACGTATTGTATTTATCTGATATATAGAATTACCCTGTGACGAATCCTAATAAAAAATATATTGGTAAATAATATAAAATATTGGACATTCTGTCGAAACAGTATAAGTAGACTCAGAGTCAGAAAGAGGGGCAGAAAGGGCGACAACACCAGGCATCCATTTCTGGGAGTCATCCATTCAAAGTTTTGTGAAATTGTCACTGTTAAGTTTATTGTACAATTTGCCAACTAAATTTAAATAAAACGTTATTTTGTACATATCTAAAACGTTTTCTTTACATTTCTCAGTACTGGGCCTTATTCTTGAGCCATAGGTGTTGGGCCTGGGATGAGGCTTCAACGAACCACTGCGTGCATGCCACTGTGGCTTTGTGAGTTGGTACTAAGGCAATAGGCAATATGTCCCAGATTCGATAACAATGTTGGCTAAGACAGTTTCTCAGAGTTTTTCAGCATTTTTTTCCCTTGACGAGTGATGGTGGATCGTGCTGTACTGTACAAGAAACCTTACCAGTTGGAATTTGATGAAAGAGGGAGAGGGAAATGGGGGTTAAGGTCCACTTGAGACACACTAGACCTGGAGAAAACCAACAAGGTTGGACAGGTGACCCTACTCTTTGTCACGTACAAGTGGCGAACACCCCCATGGAATTTGATGAAGAGCAGGAGAACACGTTGCTGCCTGGCAAAATGTCACATGCCCATCTTCTTTTCATTTAATAGAAATAAATTATGAAAGGTGATAAAACTTACTAGAACAATAAAATCTACCCCAGCTTGTACAAGTAGATCTATTCTATGGATATCATCTTCTTGTGTACTGGCTGCTGCTCCTACTAATAACTGTTTCCTAGAATAATATCATCATAATTTATAATCTATCGTCTAACATATATCTTATTGTCCACCACCTTTCGAAGACTTTGGAACATAAAAACTCTGATTTTAATTAAGGTAGAATGTTTAAACATTCAATGATTAACATTTCAAGCTAAAGCCAAGTAAGCAGAGATAAGAAATTTCATTGGTTGATGCTTTGGAACAAGATAGCTTTGATTCTATCTGATAGAGAGTGATGAAACAAACTTAGTGTATAGTTGATAATTAGTTTGATTGCTTGATACTTTTGAAAAAAATAAATGTCCTATTAATTAATATGTGTTATCTATTTATTTGGGATTATGGCGGGGGACATCAGCCTGACTGTTGGCTTGTTAAAGATTTACATTATGTAAGATCTAGATAAACAGAAATGAAATGAAGTGGGGTTTAACGTCCTACTGTTTCGCTCCGAACTGGGCTAATGAAGACGGGCATACGCCATACAGTGTGCCATGAGGGTAATTTTGCCCGGACAGCGGCACTACGGCCTACTCTTATATCGAATTCCAACTGTCAAGGGATCTTTTACGTGCACGCCAATGTGTACACGGGACCTCGGTTTTTCGTCTCATCCGAATGACTAGACAGCTGTCCTTGTCAGGCCCTCCGTCCTGCATCACTGACAAAGGGGAACCACGCCGGAAAATCTGGATGAACTTTCTCGGCCAATGCAGGGATCGAACACCCGACCTCCAGGCTAGCGAGCCAGCGCCTTACCCACTTAGCCACCGTGATCCCCCTAGATAAACAGCTGGTTGATGCTATATTATTAGTTTGAATATAGATAATGTAAAATGAATATATATCTGAATAGCTTAAACCTCTATATTTAAGGAAATAGTACTGATAGGTGAAAACCTCTCTATTCAAGGAATCTCTATTCAAGGAAATAGTACTGATATTTGAAAACCAGATACTGCGGGTTCTTCTCAACTCAGGTGTTAGGTGGAAGTTAAACGTTCTATTTTTCTGCTCCAGAATGTGTGCCTGACAAGGACAGCTATCTAGTTGTTCAGATGTGACGATAAAACCGAGATCCTGTGTACACATTGGCATGCACGTTAAAGATACCTTGGTAGTTGAAATTCGATACAGGAGAATGCCATAGTGCTGCTGTCCGGGCAAAATTTCCCTCATAGCACACTGTATGGCATATGCTCGTCTTCATTAGCCCAGTTGGAGCAGAACAGCAGGATGTTAAACCCCATTTAATTTCATTTCCAGTAATGTGCGGAATGCGACGGAGTGAATTTTACAACACCAAATGAGATGAACGACTAAATACTGTGCCGTCCTTCAACACTGAAAAGGGGAAACCACTCTGTACAAACCCTGGGTAAATTCTCTAACTTGTGCCCGTTTGATTAATAAGTCCCTAATGAGTCCCAATATACAGGGAGAAATCCTGTAAAAGACGTTGACTGTATACACAATTAAAACTAATTTTGTTCTCACCTTTCATCTTTAGATGCTAGAGGGAAATCTCTATTTTTCTTTGTGTCTGTTCGTGCTATCAATGCTACCAATTCATCATTTTCATTGACGATTGGTAACTTACCTAAAATAAACATGACAAAAAAAATACATAAAACTATTGTCGTTTCCAAAATACAGGGAATTAACAACCATCTATTTCGCAATGTGTAATCACATGCATTATCAAAAGATGTTATGATTGTATTTTTCCTATATCGTTATTTTGTTAATATTTCTCTACTTTCTTCATATTTGATTGTTAACTTCTGTATTGTTTTTATAAAGGGCAGAATGTAAGATACGCCTCCTGGCCTAATTTACAACCCTTTGACAATAAAGTTATTATTATTACTTTATGTTGTAGAAAGCGAAATGCTTGAATAACTCTATTTATTAGCTATGATTATTCTCTACACCAGTAAAAGATAACCTAACAAGATAGTAGTTTTAGTGACAACAGGCATCCTGTTCAGACTCTATTAAACATACGAGAGACTAGTACAGGTGAAAGTGGACGTAAAATACAACTAACTCACACAGTACAGGTGTAGCTCAGTAGCTGCTGCCACTTGTTGTTTATTTCTTAATCCACTGAGCACAACCTCAGAAACAGGACTGTTGGCAGAGAGAGTGCAGAGAGAGAGAGAGAGAGAGAGAGAGAGAGAGATATGCGATTTAACCTCCAACCTCCACTCATCACAAACTAGGTCATTTCGGAACTAACATAGGGATCAATTTTATTTCAATGATTCGCTTGTTCGTAGAGGGTCTTTAGTCAGGGCAGAAAACCAGAGGACCTGGAGAAAACCCACGAGGTTTGACTGGTGACCCTACTCATTGTCACGTACAAGCAGGGAATCGAAACCATGCCAGTTGACTCAATAAGAGAAATTGTGAGAAGACACTTTGCTTCCATTCCAACTACTATTCTTCAAATATCATCTACTAAGGCTTCTTTTACATACAGACCAATGAGTAGATTGGACTAAAAACAAATGTTCAAATTTGAATATTTTGTCAAGATATCAAACGTATCTTAGAGTATCCTAAATTTGTACTACCACAACAAGTCACTATTGTGTTACCACAGGAAGGCGCTATTGTACATAACCTGAATTTGTACTACCACAAGAAAGCGTTATTGAATTGTGCGCATAACCCAAATTTGGAACTACCAGGAAAACTTTGGATGAAATCTTCAATAAATGTTGGAGAATGTGTCATATCAAGTGAATGTATATATTAATATTTTTAATAAAATCACTCACCTTTTTTACTTTGTTGTAAAATATGATTAGCTTCTTTTAAATTTACACCTGCTTTAGCTACAACTAAATTTTCATATGTCGTCATTACCTGTAGAGAAACACAGGTATATTTGATCAAATAGAAAGAGATAAGTCAAGATTTATTGACAATTAACAGTAGGGTACCACAATATATATATATATATATATATATAGAGAGAGAAATGGGGTTTAACGTCCACTCGACACAAACTAGGTCATTTCGGGACTAACACACGGTTCAATTATATTTCAATAAGTCGCTTGCGCGTAGGGGTCTTTAGCAGTGGGAGGAAACCGGAGGACCCAGAGAAAACCCACGAGGTTGGACAGGCGACCCTACTCCTTGCCAGGTACAACCGGGGGTACCACAATATAAGGGACTTGTCATATCAATGGACTCAACAACAGCATTATATTCTTTAAATGGCATTTAGTAATTGGGCAGATAAATAAACTATAAACATATATATGGAAAACAGTTACTGATTTATTTAACTTGAAAACGTTGAGAGAATACTTTTCGAAACGTCGTCTAAATAAATCAGTAGCTGTTTTCCATAAGTATGTTTATAGTTTATTAAATAGGATTACAGTGAAGCCCTGCATTATAATATATGGGGGGGACACAAGTTATATAAGTAGGCCCAACTACAGTGTTATAGTGAAGCCCTCCATTATAATATACAGGGGATACAGTGGACCCAACAACAGTATTATTGTGAAGGCCTTCAATATAATGTATTGAGGACAGGCTATGTGTGCCATTTGCATTTTACGCTAAAATCTCTCACGGCTTAATCAACCCTAATCTGTACTCAGATTGATTATTTAACATTTAATTAAGAAAACAAAATCAAAAGAAGGCCTATCAATAAATTTTCGTAGACAACAAAAATCTCGACCAGCTTATCGAATAGCGAGCAGCATACATTGGTAAGATTTCAATTCCACACCTCTCTGTAAATACGGAACGGAATTCAATCATTTCTGGGCTGATAGTCCTTTCCGAGATTCATCTTTCACAAGTGTTTCTATAGAACTAAAACAGTGATTCTCAACCACTGTGCCACAAGATCTTCTCAAGTGTGCCATTCAAAATTTCTCACTAAAGAAGCCAGCTATTTAACAGATGAAATTTGAAACACTACAATAAACTAAGTTCATAGCTGTGTTTTTCTTTATTTAGTTTGAGTCATTCTATGGCTAGTCTGTGTCCATGGTTGTATGCCGTCTATGACTTGCCATGTTTTTATTTTGCAAAATCCAAATATTTTTCATATTATATTTAGCCAGGTGTGCTGCTATTTTTTCCGGTGTTTCAAGGTGTCAATTATTTGGGTGAGTTTATAAAAAATGAAAGTAGACTTACTTCTGATATAGGTGTCTGGTATTGATCTTGAGATAAATAATCTATGTCTCTCTGGGTAACCAAGCCTACTAATTTCTCACCCATGTGACCTTTAGCAGTTATTGGTATTCCTGAAAATCCATATCTTTTCTTGGCCTCTAGAACATCATTCACTGTGTGACTAGGGGACATAACTACTGGATCTAAAATAAACCCTTGTTCGTATTTCTGGAAAATAAAAATTCATAAAATAAGTTATTCTCTTACACAGCGATAGATGGGCTAAAATGTTTGAATATTTGAATGAGAAACAGTTTGTAAATCATGCATGATCTATTGGTGACAAGGGCTATAACTCTGTCACTGATAAACCTAGCACAATTAGGGTGACCCACCATAAATAAATATCTCCATATATCTCGACAATTTCGCCACAATATTTATATATATGCCAAGCCTCAAATCAGTTTCACACAATTATAGTCACTAAATAAACGATCATGTTAAACTTAATAAGCTATGACCATTAATCATCTATAAATAATAGACTGAAAACTGGTTCCATGTGTCGTCCATAACATCCAGACACTCTTGAGTAAAAAATAGGTTACGTGCCCTTGTTTTGAAATTAGTCTCGCTTAACCAGTCTATCGACCATTCAAGGGCTGATTGACAGGTCGGGATAATCAAGACTACTTTTTTACGAAACATAACAGAAAGCTATAACAAGAAATTGAATTTAGAAATGAGCACGTTAGCTAGCTCAACAATTGTTTTAAGAAGCTTGTAAAAGTAAAATGAAACTACTGCTAGTATCATGTTCCTGTCTAACCCGAGTGCTTCAGAGATATTATTTGTACTAAACCAAAAGATGCTGCTCTGAACGGTACAGTTAATGATAAAGCGATTTAAAAAATGAAACGAACGTAATTTCTAAATCTGCTGTAATAACCAAGAAGCTTAATTTTACTGCTATTCAAAATCGTCAACAATAAATTTTTTACGGCTGTAATAGTTGATAGATTTGTAGAGAATTGCACGTGCCATGGCTATTTATAGTATCATACTGTCAGAAAGTTGGCCTCGACACAGCGAATGTGCACGCTTCAGTGGTAGTCTCGAACTATCAGCGGTTGACTGTATTTCTGTAGGTGCATGGGCCACCCTAGCACAATCTGCAAAAGTTTCTTCCTTATGAAGTCACACAAGAGTGAGAGAAATGGGGTTTAACAGCCACTCAACATATATTAGGTCATTTTAGGACTAACATATTGTAGAATTTAATTTCAGTAATTTGCTTGTGTGTGATATGGGCTTTAAGCACAGTGGGAGGAAACCAAAGGAACTGGAGAAAACACATCAGGTTAGACAGGTGACCCTACTCTGTCACACACAAGTATGGGATCAAAACCACTGCCATCCTCGGTTTCCTCTGTGGTTTCATTCCGTTCTAGTCTACTATACCCTGGGTTAATCCATAGGGTTTCCATGATTTCAAATTATCTGCTCTGGCTTTAATTGTAGCTTGAATCTGTGGTCCAATCAAAAAACAGTTTACAAACCAGTCTTTCTAAGACTCTTTAGCTTCTTTGTTTACTTTTACAACCAATGACGGCTTGTTGCAATTAATGATTTATGGGATTGGTCGATAAATTAGCACAATCATCAAGGGCAGATAACTTGAATACAGTCCCCTATGGATTAACCCAGGGATTAATGGAGTTGAACGGAATGAGACCACTGGGGATATCAAAGATGCTCGACTACAGGTCACTCTACTCTCTGTCACATACAAGTATTGATCGAAACCACGCCCAACTGATCTGAATGAATCATTGATTTTTAATTTGTAACATAGAAACATAGTCTCATTACAGCATATTTCATTATATTTTAATTGATTGATTATATACATTATTTATCGTTTACATTGATTACCATTTGGGTATAATAATAATAATAATAATGACCATTTTTACGGATCAGTTTAACAAGGAATTTTATTTTATAAATACATTTCTGTACGAATCTTGCCTTAAATGGACATTGCTAAATACTACAGTTGTGTGCTTAATGGGAAGATGGGTAATGAAATGAAATGGAGTTTAACGTTCAACTTTTCTGCACCGACTGGGTTAATGAAGACAGACACACGCCATACAGTGCACGTAAAAGATCAATTGGCAGTTGGAATTCGATAAAAGAGTAAGCCATAGTGCCGCTGCCCATACAAAATTTCCCTCATAGCACACTGTACAGGGTACGCCCCTCTTCATTAGCCCAGTAGGAGCAGAACAGTAGGATGTTAAACCCCATTTCATTTCATTTCCATACAGTGTGGTATGAGGGAAATTTACTCTGGGCAGCAACTGAATTCCAACCGTCAAGGGTTTTGTTGCATGCACGCCAAAATGTAGACGACCTTGATATTTGCCATGTTCTAACTCCTGCATCACTGACAAGGGGGAACCATTCTGGAAAATCCTGAGTAAAACTTTCTCAGCCAACAAGGTGATTGAATCTCCTTTTTAGCAAGCCAGCGCTTCAATCACTGAGCCACATGCACAGAATATATTATTTAAAAGTTTATATTTTTGTGGATAACTTTTAAAGGAAATCAAAAGCAAAATATCTCAAGGTAACCATATTAGGTACTGAAAGCCAGTTTAACGGGCAGGCGGGGAGAAAGGGACAATGTATAGTTCTTCTGATGGAATGAAAAGCCGAACCCTTGGCAGTACGGATTTGATATAAGAGTACGCCATAGTCCCTCAAAGTACACTGTATGGCAAATACCTGTCTTTATTAGCTATTTGTGACGTTAAACCCCATTTCATTTCATTTTATTTCAGGCGGGGAAAAGACAGCATGTCTATTGATTGACTGAATGATAAACAATCTGCATATATAATTGTGTTGAAATATTGGGAATAAACCATGGCCGCAGGCTGCATTCTCATTCTAAACAATGGAATAACGATATTGACATTTGTTGTTAGGGGAAAAACCCATTATAATATGTCTCTTTCAATATAAACCTAATGAATGTTTGTATGTAATATATTGATTGGCACTTATAACACCAAGGTCAAAACAAAAATCAATTGATTCCGGTTCAATTTGCTCATTTGGGTTGAGTTTTTATTATTATTATATTATGTATGTTTTAATGGTCAAGGACGTATCGATATATTATACAATTTCTTACACGTGCATTTCAATGAAATCGTCACACATTGTCTATACCATTATTTGAACATTTCAATATGCTTCAATTTTATTTCAATAATACTCTTGTGTGCAGGGGTTCTTGGCTGTGGGAGGACCGAGAAAAAACCCACCACTCTACTTCTTGTCACATAGAAGAGAGGAATAGAAACGACTTGTCGTCCATCCAACCCCCCTGGTCTACTGAGTAGAATTACAGTCTTGAAGTCAAGTATATGTGTGTCTAATAGATAAGTCAATACTTTATTTCCTTCTTCTGAAACAATCTACCTAATTATCCTTTCTATTAGTACATTTATTACTCCGAGTCGTTTAATAATTCACAAAGAAGGGAAATAATTAGTATAATCTATATATAAATGAAGTTTATGTTACCATGTCAACGAACGTAAGAACCTTTAAGAATATGATTCCTGTTAGGTACTAAATATATGAGCCCTTCGTAGTGTCAAAATAGAATACCTCAGAAGTGTTAAATAATAACTCTTCATTCGTGTTAGTTTATATAATCCTAAGCAGAGTTAAAGAATGATTCCTTAGCAGTGATGAAATATGATCCCTTAGCAATGTTAAAATAAGATCTCTGACAGTGTCAAAATATAATCTACAGCAGAGTTAAAGTATGATCCCTTTGCAGTGTCAATAAAACTCAAGCAGAGTTAAAGTTTGATTCCTTATTTTTTTAGCATATTCAAATTTATGACCCCTAGCCCTTAGCAAAGTTACATTATGATTTTCCCCCAGTTAATGATGGTATTACACAATGTTTATCTGGTATATTCTATTTCCTGTAAAAAAGATGGTTTATAATGTAGAGTCTGAATTATAAAGACTATCCCTCTAAGGCTTTACACAAAATGTCAACAATGTCTCCACTTACCTTGACCTTTCTAACTTCATTAGCTTGAAACTCGGGTGTACAATTATGATGTATAACACCCACGCCGCCACATAGCTAGAAAAAAACAAATTTCTTTATCTTATAAAATATATCTTATTTGGTGGATGGCAATTTCACATCCATCAATTTTTGGACAGGGGCACAAACTCAATTCGACTTAAGATCTACACTAATATAAAAGGGGAACTTTGAATATATTTTAGTGGCTGGGGTATAATTAGCTATAGATCTGCACTTGAAAGTATAGTTTAATTTTTACAAATTCTGTGTAACTTATGGTTTGAGAGAGAGAGAGAGAGAGAGAGAGAGAGAGAGAGAGAGAAAGATGGGTTTAATGTCCACTCAACACAAACTAGGTCATTTTGGGACTAACATATGGTTTAATTTTATTTCAATAATTCGCTTGCATGTACATGTAGGGCTCTTTAGCAGTATGAGAAAACCGGAGGACCAGGAGATAACCCACGAGGCTGGACAGATGACCCTACTTCTTGTCACGTAAAACCGGGGAATGGAAACCACACCACTTGACTCAATGACAGACCTTATGATACATCGCGCATGTGCTAACCATTCAGCCATCCAACCCCCTACTCATCATTTGAAAGGACAAACTAACAGTAAAACATATTTATCGGTAATGTCAGTTTAAGATTCCTGTGAGAAATGAGGGGAATACCTAACATTGATGGCCAATATTTTTGATTAATTATAGACAATAAAACTGACAATAATATGGACATTAGGCAGCTAACTAATATGAAATAAAATTCATTTCATCATTAGAGCAAAATAAAAAAAATTAATGTTCTATTTGCCTCCCTATTCAATATTCATGATACTACCAATTCTACTGAGATAGAAGATACTTACAGCCATCGCTATAGCCATCTGTGATTCTGTAACTGTATCCATGGGTGAAGACAGTAATGGTGCTTTTAAAGTTATCTTTTTCGTCAAAGCTGACGTCAACTCCTGAAAAAACATCATAAATAATTGTTTAGAAAATGGTGCTACATGTGTGAGGGAAGTAGGAACCGTCAGAGGTTCTTTTACATGCACACAACTGCGTACACAGATGGATCTTGTTCTGTCTCATGTGAACAAATAGATATATTTTCTCTGCAGGCTAGTCGATACCCCCTCCCCCCTTCCCAACTTTCAAGATAACAGTTTTGAATTTATTTGAATTTAAGAAAATCTACCACTAACCACATCAAGTGGACGAAAAAGAAATCCAAACTTTGTTGAATTATAAAAACTCTTAGTCTCGAACCATTCCTCAGAATATTTATCACACATGAAACAATCCTCCATCTTTTCACCTCTATCTCTCATAGTTTAAAGTGATCATGCACAAGGCAGCATAGTTTTATAATTTCTAGAGCATCTGATGACACTTCCGATGTATTTTGAAAGTATACATACAGCTATGTGCAAGCGATTCACTGAAGAAAAACAGTTAACAGTTATCGACGTTTCGACAAGTATCCTCTTATCGTTATCAAGCACGATAAGAGGATACTTGTCGAAACGTCGTGCTTTTAGAATAAACTAGTGATTGTATCCCATAAAAACTGTGTTCTGTTAATTTGTTCCCTGATCGCTAAATGCCACTTAAAGAATATGTTAAAATAAAGCTGTAAAGTTTGACAGGCAGAAAGTCTTCTTGTGGATCTATGGATGCTATACACAAGTTTAATGCTCTGATGCAGAGAGTTCATGTTCTGTCAATTCCACAATAATTTCCTAGATAGAGCGGTGAAGATTAACCGGTCTTCAATAGCCCAGTTGGTGCAGAAAAGTAGGATGTTAAACACTATATGCAAATTGATTTTACTGTCAGCCAATTGAATTGCAGTATTTCTTAAAATTTCGATTGTATCTTAGTTTAAGTTTTCGTGAATAAGGGCCCAGGTTAGATCTATTACACATGGCCATCTGCAGATTTTCCCCAAGGGCACAAGATTTAAACAGGGTTAGGGCAAGTAATTGTTGCCGAGGATTGTGGGGTTAAGTCTAGGGTAAAGCTTAGGGCTAGGTCTTGAGCTAGGGTTAGGGTTAGTGCTAGCCCTTTTTATATCTTGTGACCTATGACAAAATCTGCAGATGGCCATGCAAACTAGATCTGACCATATAAACGCACTTTGAAATAACAACCCGGCAAACGTTTAGCACACAGTTTGTCAGAACAATTATTCACAACCCGGGCCTAGTCACACAGTTTTTTATGTCAATGATAACTACATGAACCGGTTATCTTTTGCAGTGACATGAACACGCTTTAAATTAACAATTATTGACAACCTGACCCAGTTGTATAAACGGACATCAAAATATAAATTATAGACAATCAGGCTAGTTGCACACTTTTTAAGCACATTTTAAAATAACAATTATTGACAATCTAACCCGTTGTACAGACACCTCAAGCAGTGGTATAAAAGCACTTTGATATAACAATTGTAGACAACTAGGCCTAGACACACAGCTGTAATATAAACGCACTTTGATAACAATGTAGAATAAAATAAAAACAACGAAAGGGAAATGAAATCAAAGTCGGAAATCCATCAATCAAATAATGAGGTAGTAAAACTAGTTGTATACGGAACATTGATTAGTCAAATCAGTCGACTGCAGACATGAACCCAACAACTTGATTAAATTGATCTTCATTCGCCTAAAAATATAATCCTATTAATTTAATTAATTGAACTACTTTCACCATCGTATTATTGCACTGGCATTGATTTATAAATTATTTTATTGAGTGTTCATACGCCTGTTTCACACGACTTACATACGTACTTAAAGGGGCTACACCTCTAACTCAATGGGGAGTTGTCTGGCCGAACGGTTAGCATGTGAGCAGTATATCATAAGGGCTAAAGAACACGGGCATACGCCATGCAGTGGCCAGTGTGCTATGAGGGAAATATTGCTCGGACAGCGGTGCTACTGCCTACCCTTATATCAAATTCCCACTGACAAGGGTTCTTTTACATGCACGCCAATGTGTACACGAGACCTTGATTTTGCACACCATGCACACTAGATAGCTGTCCATGTCAGGGCCCCCCCCCCATCCTGCACCACTGACAAGGGGAAACCACGCCAGAAAATTCTGATGAAATTTCTATGCCAACATTGGGAGCGAACCCACGACCTCCAGACTAGCGAGCCAGCGTCTTACTCACCGAAAAATCCTGATAATTGTTAGAAGTTTAAAATTAATATTCATATTTAACTATAAGTAATTCTGGAGGTTGGATGGCCGAATGGTTAGCACATGTGCGTTGTATCATAAGGTCTGTCAGTGAGTCAACTGGTGTGGTTGCGAATCCCGGGGTTGCCTGTCCAGCCTCGTGGGTTTTCTCCGGGTCCTCCGGTTTTCTCCCACTGCTAAAGACCCATACGTGCAAGTGAATTATTGAAATTAAATTGAACTATGTGTTAGTCCTGAAATGACCTAGTTTATTTCCAATAGAGGTTAAACTCTCTCTTCTCCCTCTTGTCTATTTTAATGTTCCAAAGAATAAAATTACCAGGATGCTTTCCAGAGCTCATAAAGAACATACAAGGATGGAAATACGCCATCTTTCACTGACAAAAGACATTAATTCAAACTTTGTCAGACACAATTCCACCGATGTCTGTCATAATGTCCGACACAGAAACCTTATTACCAGACCCGAGTACATGTAACAATAGTATTATCAATATATATAAACAAACCACGCCCAGCTTTACATGGAGTTTAAACATACTTTATTATGGCCATCTATAAACTTATTGAGTTTTATAAACCTATAGACACATTTCTCAAATAAAAATGAAATGAAATGGTGTTTAACGTCACAATGTTCTGCTCCGACTGGGCTAATGAAGACAGGCATACGCCTGTGTGCTATGAGGGAAATTCCAACTACCAAGGGATCTTTTACTTGCACACCAATGTGTACACGAGACAATGTTTTTGTATCCCATCTGAACGACTAGACCGCTGTCCTTGTCAGGCCCTCTGTCCTGCACCACTGACAAGGGGAAGTTCATATTTAACTATTATTATTCCTTATGTTGTTGGTTTAATTTATTCTGAAATGAACAACCAGAGACCAGAATTTCCATACTAAAAGTGGTCAACATGATAAAATAGGGTAAATCAGCTTCCCTTAGTCTTGTGAGTGGTACAGGAGTACAGGACCTGGCAGGGAAAAGTGTCTAGTTGTAAAGATTGTATAAAAAAAACCCAACAAGATTGTTGTGCACGTAAAAGAAACTTTGGCAGTTGGAATAGGCCGAACAGACAAAATTTCCTCCATTGCACACTTTCTGTCTTTATTTAATTTTAAATCAAAGTGGTTTAGTTCAGCTCCTTTGAGAAATGAAATGGAGTTTAACATTCTAAATTTTAGCACTGAGCTCCTTTAAGAATTGAAATAGAGTAAACGTTCTAATTTTTTTCTGCACCGTTATTTAAGAATATCTAGCTAGGCCCATTACTTATAAAAAGACTATCAGATTTCTGCAAGAGAGATCAAACAAGTCCTTAAGGGCACTCATCTTACAAACTGATGTCATTAGAAGAATAATTACATCCCAAAATAGTCATAATTGGTAATACGATCTCAAGATTTTCTATAACCATGACCACAAATGTCTGGAGTAAAAAAAAAATATAACGTCAACACATTTTAATGAATCATTTCATATTTTTCAGCAACTAAATGACTACAAGCAAGGAAAATGTTATTATAGCAAGTATTCTTATGGTTTATTGAAATATGAACATTCTTTAGGACCAAGACCATCAAAAATTTATTCGCTGTTGTATGTGTGCAAAATTGTTTCCCTCACAGAAAAAATTCGATATGCTAGTCAAAAATCTAGCTGAGTATAATTTCATTTCTTTAGTTGGGCCAACATTACGTTTTATCTTTAATCAAAAGATTAATATCCAGGTAATATTTCATAAATTGGAATTTGCTGCTGGGCTGAAATCTACAAATTTAAACCAGAAATGGCCTGAGTATTTTTTCTTTTCACCAGTAGGGGCAACAGAATATCTAGGTAATATCTTATAAATTTGGAATTTTCCGCTGTATGGACAAAATTATTTCTTTAGTCAAGTCAACACAATGCTTATGTCTTTAATCATACCAGGTAACAGAATATTAAAGATACATTATGGGAGATTAGATAACGATCTGGCAGTTCTCACTGTAATAGTTAAAAACTAGATAATGTAAAGGCAATTTGCTGAAAATTTCAGTCAAATTGCTCCACTCTGAACCGAGAATTAAGCGATTGAAACTTCCGCCTAGCCTCGACCATCATTACTAAAGTCGGTATGATAAAATCATAGTCTTGATTATCCATTTCATGATTAAATCATGAATGAAAGTTGAGTAGCAAATCGGATCCTAATCCAGTAAATATCGCAGGCTAGCGTTGACATCGAGAGTTGATTATGGTCTGGATAAGTTAATTAATGTCTAATTAATAATTTATATAACATTTCAGGCCTAAAGAAAGACCTGCAATAGGCAGATTTACCTCTTGCATAATGTATGTTTAAGGTATGAAATGAAATGAAATGGGGTTTAACGTCCTACTCCAAAACTCGGCTAATGAAGACGGGTGTTTGGGGTAATATTTTTGAGGAATATTACTCGACTAGATGAACAGAACACATATTTTCTTTATTTTTATGTTGGAATTTGCTGCTGTTTGGGCTAAATTCTCTTTAGTAAGGCTACCAATACTTATATCTTTCATCATAACAGAATATGTAGGTAATATTTCTATAAAATAAAATAATTCTATAATAGATGAACAAACCAAATCATTTCTCTGTTTTTATTTGTCTTTCTGTATTTTTTTTTTCTCCATCAATATATTAGAGGAGAAAATGTCACATATAATCATCTCCATGGTAACCTATCAATATGGCAAACAGCCAATTAAATACATACATGCTGAAGGCTGTCGTTATTGGTTACACAGAACATCCATCAATATTCTTACATTATCAACAATAACCACCAACAGTTGAACACACATCATGTCTAGTAAAAAGTGTAGGAGGATGAAACCACACACAACAACTATCTAGAAAGCCAGAAGTCAAGACAAAACCAATTGAAATGAAATGGGGTTTAACATCCTACTGTTCTGCTCTGACTAGGCTAATGAAGACGGGCATACACCATACAGTGCACTTTGAGGACAATTTTGCCTGCGCGCTTGGCACTACTGCCTACTCTTATATCGATTCTAACTGCCAAGGAATCTTTTACGTGCACGCCAATGTATACATGGAACCTTGGTTTTTCGTCCCAATCGAACAACTAGACAGCTGTCCTTGTCAGGCCCTCCATCCTGCACCACTGACAAGGGGGAGACCACATCGGAAAATCCTGATGAACTCTCAAAATAAAGCTTATTCCACGATTTCTACCCGAAAAGCCGACGGATGGGAATTATGTAACAAACTGAATCAGACTATAGACCTTGTTGCTTGTCAGGCCCTCTGTCCTGCACCACTGACAAGGAGAAACGATGCCGAAAAATCCTGAAGGACTTTCTCTGCCAACATCAGGATCATTGGATTTTACGTCCTGTTTTGCTCCGAACTGGGCGAATGAAGACGGGCATACGCCGTACAGTGTCGTATGAGGGAAATTTTGCACTGACAGCGGCACTAAAGCTTACTCTTATATCGAAATCCAACTGTCAAGGGATCTTTTACGTGCACGTCAATGTGTACATGGAACCTCGGTTTTCCGATCCCATCCGAAGACTAGACAGCTGTCCTTGTCAGGCCCTCCGTCCTGCACAACTGACAAGGGGAAACCCTGCCCAAAAATCTGGGTGAACTTTCTCGGTCAATGCAGGGATCAAACACCCTATCTCCAGGCTAGTGTCTTACCCACCGTGGCCTCCTCATCAGGATCATACCCTGGTTAGCGAGCCAGTGTCTTACGCACTGAGTCGACGCGGCTAAAAAAATGATGAATAATGAATTGGTACTGATTGACCTTGAACGTTAATTCTATTATCAATATTTACAATCAGTCATCTGTTCATTAATCAAATTGTAAGAAGTAAATCATTCTGGTGCTATAGAATTAAAGAGACCATTCACTGAGAATAAATGATACTGTTGGATTAAAGAGACCTTTCACTGAGAATGAATGAATGAATACCAAATGAAAAGGGGTTTAACGTCTTACTGTTCTGCTCCGACTGGGCTAATGAAGACCGGCCCATGCCAGACAGTGTGCACTAGCAGCGGCACTATGGACTACTCTATATCGAATTCCAACTGTCAAGGGATCTTTTACGTGCACGCCAATGTGTACTTGGGACCTTGGTTTTTCATCCCATCCTAACGACTAGACAGCTGTCCCTGTCAGGCCCTCCGTCCTGCATCACTGACAAGGGGAAACCATGCTGGAAAATTCCAATGAACTTTCCCAGTCAATGCAGGGATCGAACACGCGACCTCCTGGCTAGCGAGCCAGCATCTTAACCACTTAGCCAAGATCAATACGAAAAAAACTAGTAACTACACACAGGGAAAACTGGTCGCATGCAACGCCCATTTCATCTACAGTAGAATCTGTATGACCAGCCACTCAGTTGTGAAAATTCCCTTGGGTGACTGCTTAATGCAGATTCTACTGCATTCTATTACAAACCTATAACGTTAAATTTAATTGATCTTTGGGATATATTCTATGCCCGGTAAGGCTGTGCAAAAATATCGATATAATCGATAATCGGTAGAAGTTATTTAGCGATACGATAATCGATATTGAAATTCAAATAAAATAAAACTAATTGTATTATTAATGATCAACTCCGCTTTTATTACTAAATCATGTCAGACACAGCCCATACAAAACACGTTTTTGACTTCCAGGGAAAATATCTATATCTCTCGTAATTCCGTGGAAGAATTCTACTTTGGTTTTCATCTAAATTAACCAATCATAAAAATTCTACTTTGAAAGCTCGTAATTATTTTTTTATTGTCCAATCAATAGACGCCTTCTATTATATTTTATTCTATTATTAGTAACACTGTGTGATCGCCAGTCACTTGCAAAGAGAAACCATGTATTGTCTTTGTATTTATCGGAGATAAAAAAAGGTTCAAATGAATCAAGAACAGAACTTAGAATAATACTCAAGTTAGTCCTACATTTAGCAACTAATTATTTTACATTAATTGATTTTTTTACGTACATCGGCACAGTATTAGACTAGGATAATAACACTACTGTAACTCGATCAACACAAATATTAATAACAGGTCGGTAAAGTTTGGATTTTTCCGGAAAAATGATAATCGATTATTATCGATAATCGCTGACAAATTCTTGCCGATAATCGATATTGAAATTTCATATCGATTCCAAGCCTTAATGCCCGGAATAACTTGCAGTCTGGAAGTCGGGGGCGACTTTAAATATATACAGTGGAATTTGGGGTTATTCTTCTGAAAGTTTTTCTTTAAACCTGTACTGGGTTATTCTTTCAGGGTAGGTTTTTATTTCCCATAAGAAAACATGATATAAGGTTTTTTAACAGGAATTCTGGGATATTCTCACTTTACGTACATGTAAACGATTTATAAGCAAGATAAAGTTTTCGACTACAGATTTGCAGGGGAAGAAAGACTTAAAATAAAAAAAAAAAAACCTCTCAGATTTTCTTTTTTTCAGGTTTTTTTCTTCAGTGTTTTTTTCCCCAGCCTAACCTAAGTCTCGTGTTTTATCCTACACAGAAATCATAGAACCAAGTGAACAACTTACCACTTCTTCTGCAGAAAAATCAATAAAACCTGGTAAAATAAGGAAATCACTGAAAAACAAACAAACAATATTCTTATACAAAGATTTGTTCAAGTTAATAAATCATAAACTTTATTCCTTACATATGTAATAAATCTAATTATACCCTTTTCCACAATAACTAAATAATAATTAATATACAGACCTGGAATTTGAAAACAGAAAAAAAACTCTGCAATAGGCAGATTTAGCTCAAAATTACATAATACATGTTTAAAGGGAAATGGATTTTTTTAGATCATTTTTACACAGTAAATTCAAGTTGATAACCCACCACTACAAGGGGATAAAATTGAAATCCAACAGTGTAAATCCACGTCTACGTAGCTAAATAAAATATCAGCTAGAAATTGATGAGTGTTAGAATGGCAGTATTTGATACTAGAAAATCACGTTTCCAATATAACACTACCGTTTTCACTTCTCCAACTTAACCAATTCTTTATAGGATTTCACTCCAAAGTCCAATACTCATAATTTAAAGAGAGAGAGAGAGAGAGAGAGAGAGAGAGAGAGAGAGATGGGGTTTAACGTCCACTCGACACAAACCAGGTCATTTCAGGACTAACACATGGTTTAATTTTTATTTCAATAATTCGCTTGCGCGTAGGGTACTTTAGAAGTGGGAGGAAACCGGAGGAACCGGAGAAAACCCACGAGGTTGGACAGGCGACCCTACTCCTTGTCACGTACAACCGGGGATTCGAAACCACGCCAGTTAACTCAATGACCTGGTGTATGACAGTATGCATGTAAAACTGTTTCAAAAACTGGAAATTCTATTTTATACATTGTGAATTCTATTTTACACATGGTGAGTTCTATTTTAATACATTGTGAATTCTATTTTACATGGTGAATTCTATTTTAATACTTGGTGAATTCTATTTTACAGATGGTGAATTCTATTTTACACATGGTGAATTCTATTTTACACATGGTGAAATCTATTTTAATACATTGTGAATTCTATTTTACATGGTGAATTCTATTTTAATACTTGGTGAATTCTATTTTAATACTTAGTGAATTCTATTTTACATGGTGAATTCTATTTTACACATGGTGAATTCTATTTTACACATGGTGAAATCTATTTTAATACATGGTGAATTCTATTTTACACATGGTGAATTCTATTTTGAATTCTATTTTACACATGGTGAATTCTGTTTTTAACATTTCATGAGATGAAACTTTCCATTTTTATTGAGTGAGCTTATTCCAAATATATGTATTTAGCACACGATGCCATATTTATTTTAGCGGTTCTATGCTGTCTGATTATGTGAGTATTTAAAATTTGTGTGTGTCCATAATTTTTGTACTTTTGTACTTTTTCCCTGTATGTGAGTTCCATGTAGTTCCTTTAGGTTCTATGCTGTCTGGTTATGTAAGTACTCAAAATTTGTGCGTGTCCATAACTTTTGTAGGCCCTACTTGTATATTTATACTTTGTATATTGTAGGCTATGCTGTCTTGACAGGACAATAAAAATTCTATCTTATTTTATACTCTAACCACTGAGTGATAGCTAGGTTAGTGATCATAACAAGGTGACAGGACCGATATGTTCGCATTGAACAGAGGAAAATGAAATTCTATGATTTGGGTGGGATTTATGAAAATAAAACCTATGATAGAAGCGTCTGTTATGATCAACATTAATAGATTTTTGTAAATTTGGTTTCAACAAAAAAAGCCAGATTCTGTGTTTTCCACTTTTTTTCCTTGATATTATCCTAAATAATTTAACAATACAACAAACCAGCGGCTGCCAGGCAGGATACGCCCACATTTTTGAGAGATGGATAGAGAACAAGCTAAAAAGAAAGTGATTTTTCCTACAATCAAAGGCCATAATTCATGAAGTAACAATTCGATATGCGCAAATATCGAAAGGAACCAAGATCTTTGGGTTATAAACATGCATTTCAAGTTTCATTAAAATCGGATTAAAATTGTAACCTCTACAGGGTCCACAACCTTGATATACCATATTTTTACACCTTTGTCCGGCAGTTTTGGTTTGATTATCAGGAAATGTGAACTCAAGCTTTATTATGGTGTTACGGTGATATATTCAAACGATTTTTAAAATCAGATAATAACTGTGACCTTCAGAGGGACCACAAGCTAAAAGAGGCGATTTTTCGTATAATCAGGGGCCATAATTCATGAAATTACGATCCGATATGCAACAATATCGAAAGGAACCAAGATCTTTAGGTTATAAACATGCATTTCAAGTTTCATCAAAATCGAATTAAAATTGCGACCTCTACAGGGTCCACAACCTTTACATATACACATGTACCATATTTTTACACTATTCGCGTACAAGCGGTGGCCATTTTGTCCGGCCATTTTGGTCCGATTTTCACGAAATTCGAACTAAACCTTCATTACGGTGTAACGGTGATATAATCAAACGTTTTTTTTAATCGGATAATAATTGTGACCTCCAGAGGGACCACAAGCTAAAAAAGGCGATTTTGCGTACAATCAGGGGCCATAATTCAGTAAGTTACGATCCGATATGCGACAATATCAAAAGGAACCAAGATCTTTAGGTTATAAACATGCTTTTCAAGTTTCATCAAAATCGAATTAAAATTGTGACCCATACAGGGTACACAACCTTGATTTACCCTATTTTTACACTATTCGTGTACAAACGGCGGTCATTTTGTCCAGCAATTTTGGTCCGATTTTCAACAAATTCGAACTCAGCCTTCCTTAAGGTCTAACGGTGATATAATAATACATTTTTTTAAATCGGATAAAAATTATGACCTATATAGGGTCCACAAGCTAAAAACACGATTTTTCGTATAATCAGGGGCCATAATTCAGGAAGTTACGATCCGATATGCGACAATATCGAAAGGAACCAAGATCTTTAGGTTACAAACATGCATTTCAAGTTTCATCAAAATCGAATTAAAATTGTGACCCATACAGGGTCCACAACCTTGATTTACCCTATTTTTACACTATTCGTGTACAAACGGCGGCCATTTTGTCCGGCAATTTTGGTCAGATTTTCCCCAAATTCAAACTCAACCTTCCTTAGGGTGTAATGGTGATATAATAATACGTTTTTTTAAATCGGATAAAAATTATGACCTATATAAGGTCCACAAGCTAAAAACGCGATTTTTCGTATAATCAGGGGCAATAATTCAGGAAGTTACGATCCGATATGCGACAATATCGAAAGGAACCAAGATCTTTAGGTTATAAACATGCATTTCAAGTTTCATCAAAATCGAATTAAAATTGTGACCCATACAGGGTACACAACCTTGATTTACCATATTTTTTTACACTATCGCGTACAAACAGTGGCCATTTTGTCTGTCAATTTTGGTCCGATCTTCACGAAATTCCAATTCAACCTTCCTTAGGGTGTAACGGTTATATAATAATACGTTTTTTTAAATCAGATAAAAATTATGACCTCTATAGGGTCCACAAACTAAAAACGCGATTTTTCGTACAATCAGGGGCCATAATTCAGGAAGTTACGGTCCGATATGCACGGATATCAAAAGGAACTGAGATCTTTGGGTTATAAACTTACATGTCAAGTTTCAACAAAATTGGATAAAAATTGTGACCTCTATAGGGTCCACAAGCTAAAAACGTGATTTTTCGTACAAACAGGGGCCATAATCCATGAAGTTTCGATCCGATACATGCCAATATCGAAAGCAGCCGAGATCTTTTGGGGATAAACCTTTATTTAAAGTTTCGTCAAAATCGGACAAGAATTGTGACCTGTAGAGAGTCCACAAACAAATTGTGGACGGACGAACGTCCGGAAGGACAGGGGCGACGACAATATACCTCCACATGAAAATGTGGAAGTATAAAAATTTGCCGACCCTGTCAACATCTTCATATGACAACATCTTCATATGACAACATCTTCCAAAAACCCAAGCAGACGACTGGTCTGTGATTGTTCTTATAAATAGTGTTATTTATTAATACTACATAATAGATAGACGCTGAGCCGTGTTTTTAGGCCTAGGCCTACCTGGACACCAAATTTCTAGGCCTATAGATACCTAGAAGTAGTAAGACAAGTTTGTGGACAGAAAACCTTGGAAATTAAATTCAGCCTAGATAAGGCATACATTGTACTTTAAGTTATGATATTGTCATACTTTTCACACGTGAACAAAATAATCCAAAAACCAAAACACGTGGAGTTGTTATTTATTTCAACTTACTTGTATGTCATGCCACTTCCGCCGCCAAAAAGCTGCGCTCCTGTTAGACCATCATCTGGGACATACCCTGTACCACCGGTAATAAGATAATCAGCCATACTAAAAGAAAACAATTCAGAAAATACAATATTACAATTCTTGAAAAGCTCGCAATTTATCAATGGCGAGTTGTAATTACTCAAGTTCAAGGACGATCCTGTTTTTTTACAAATAAACTAGTCTCGTACTAACCAGACACTCAATTCGCTTTAAAGTCAACGGACGTGTACTATTGCGAAAACAATGTTACAAAAAGACTGGTTAACAATGACCAAAGTTCATTTCGGGGCAAAGGTTCAGCGGGGTAGCCGAAATTACTCATTCAGCACTCCCCCTAACAATTAATGCGATTTTCTAAATCCAGAATGAACGCACTGAACCATAGGAGGCTTCCAGATTGAAAGGATTGACTAACATGAGGAATGCGTAAAGGGTCACAGATTGTTTATATGGACCAACGCAATTAATGCGGCCCTGTCAAATTCCCTTTTCGTCGTAGTACGTCTTCAACTTTCAACGATTCGATTGCAAGGTGGGTCGACCTCGTTTTTTCCGTTCCATTCGAAGAACTAGACGTTTCATTTACCTTGCACAATTACTGTCGAGGGGAAATCTGGTAGGAAAATCCAAAGTAACTTTTCCGGCCAAAGCCGTTTTATAGTGACGAGACTGGGCTTGAACCGGTCTAGGGGCCCAAAAAATTCCTCCGGATCTTACTCACAGGGTTTCCCCTTGTCAGTGGTGCAAGGTACATGAAACGTCTAGTCGTTTGAATGGGGCGAAAAATCAGAGAGAGGTCCCATGTAGTCAACACCCTGGCGTGCACGTAAAAGAATCCACTTGCTGTCCCGGCAAAATTTCCCTGTTTGCCCATCTTCGTTAGCCCAATAGGCCTTATCTACGATTTTTTAAAATTTGATATTATACAAAATTATATTATATTAAATTCTTCTGTCAATTCGTTAGAATTTTATTTGATACTTTAGTCGTTCAGAAAACTAGAACGTTAAACTCCATTTCATTAATTCATTATTTGATATATAGGCCCTACGTTTATTATGAATGGGGCTGTCAAAACACGAGTATACAGTCGAGATAGTGACGTAGATAACCCACAACATGTCACATATCATGTACTGTGAAATTATCATCAATACAGATCTCACAGGAAAAGAGAAAGAGAGAGAGAGAGAGAGAGAGAGAGTAACGCCCACTCGATACAAACTAGGCCATTTTGAGACTAACACATGGTTCAATTTTATTTCAATAATTCGCTTGCGCACAGTAGGAGGAAACTGGAGGACCCAGAGAAAACCCACGAGGTTGGACAAGCGACCCTACTCCTTGTAACGTACAACCGGAGAATTCAAACAACGCCAGTTGACTCAATGGCCGACATTATGATACAGCGCTAACCATTCAACCATCCACCCCCCCCCCCCCCCAATCTCAGGAAAGGAAGGGAAAGTAGATGTATTGTCTACTAGCAAGGACAGGAAACGAAAATAAAACCGATAAGAGAAGATACAAACTACACATTCATTTTAAGCAATAAACAGCAAATATCAATTCAAGTGAATGGACCCGGGGACTAGGCGTAATATCAAATCAAGTGAATGGAATCGGAGACTAGGCGTAATATCAAATCAAGTGAATGGACCCGGAACCCGGGGACTAGGCGTAATATAAAATCAAGTGAATGGACCCGGAACCCGAGGACTAGGCGTAATATAAAATCAAGTGAATGGACCCGGAACCCAGGGACTAGACGTAATATAAAATCATGTGAATGAACTGCGTAATCAACTATAGTATGCCGAATGAAGGGAGAAAGTTGCCCGGTCAATCGATCGTTCGCCTATTCTTTTTTTCTGAATTACAAAGATCTTTTTTTTTACGTGCGTCACCTTTCGAAAAACATGGTCTTGTTTTTATCGACCCATCAGTAGGACTAGGCACACAACCCCACGAAATGAAACAGAGGTTTAACATCCTACTATTCTGATCCAACTGGGCTAATGAAGACGGGCAGTGTGCTATAAGGGAAGTTGTGCCTGGACAGAGACACTATGGCCTACTCTTATATGGAATTCCAACTGACAAGGGTTCTTTTGCGTGCTCGCCAATGTGTTCACCGGACCTCGGGGAACCAAGCGGAACCAAGTCGAAAAATTCCGATGAGAGGGATCGAACACGGAACATCCAGGTTATTGAGCCAACGGCTTATACCCACGGGTTTCCGTGCTCACTGTCCCTATGGACGTTAGCTCCTGAAATATGGGAGCAGGGCTTGAAAACAATGTCCATCATCGATATACGATCCCTGTTTATTAGAATAACCCAAATATCTGTTTTACAAATTTTGGTAAAGTGAAATAATAAAAAGAAGAAGAAGAAGAAAAAAGCAAAATTAAAATATATTTAATGGCTGGACCGAATAAATTTTATAACAAGCATAATTTTAATACTGTCAGTGCTGTTATGTTTCAGGTATGTGGCCCTGAGGAAATTTCCACCAGTTCACACCTGGGCCGGAGTACGACTTACCCCCCCCCCCCCCCATCTCATCCGTATTCTCCTAATCTATAACAACGTAATTGTGGGTCCAACCCAGCAAAGGGGAAGCTCGATCCCGTGTTAGCCGAACAAGTACCCGAGGGTCCCCCCAGCGTACCTTTCCCTTTATTAGTAGAATGGGGGACCTGTCAAGGAACAACGTTTAGTCAGTCGGATGGAACGAACAGCCCAATAACCAGACGCCTTCGCCCCCACCACACCACAAAAAATAGACAAACTCACCTGCAATTATCGCAACCTGTTTGATGAAACCGACTGTTACACCTTTTCCCGACCGCTTCGTGACCGGAAGATCTACCTGGGCCTGTAGCAGACGACATCTAATACACCTCTTCACTCGTGCTGTACAAAATAGCGAATGACGTCATACAGTTTCTAATGTTTGTCTATATCACAAGTAGAATAATCTTGGGGAGTACACTATATCGTTTTATACATTAATTCCCTCAAAATATCAAATCCGAGTTTCACTGTACTGTCTGCTTTATGTTTATCACATAACCGTGAAAGTTGTCTCTGGCCACACCCACAAAACAAACCAGTCGCCGCGCTTCAGTTATTTGAAGAGAAAACGATGCGGTGACCCCAGGATTTCAAAAACGCGTTGGTCTATATTATAAAGTTCAGTAACAAGTCTAGTCTGCGACACTACACTCCGGGAAAGCGGACGTTCGGCCCTATCTTGGAAGAATAAGAAGTATTTTTCTCTTGTTTGGGATCACCACCGAAATGGACCACGAAGCCTATTTTTCATAAATCATCAACGATTGAAATAATCTATAGTGGTACGATCCCCGTGAATATATAGTTAGCCAAGTCGATTATTTCTCTTGTCGCCTAGAACTAAAACATATATAAAATATCGCACTGAATCCTACAAAATAAAATCTATGTCAATATTCTCCGTTCTTTTTTTTTTATTAACTTTAAATATTCAAGGACATGTAGTTTCTGTGACTGTTCGTTCTTGTGTCCATATAGTACGTTTCTTGAACAAAACAACCCTTGCAATCGTTCGAATCGTTTAAAACAGCTACCTCTGGATCCGTATTAATTCAACGTTGATCGTCTTCCTATAAAAAAAATATGATCAGAACAAAATTAAATAAACGCCACTGCCCTGGCCAGTTACTCCACCCCGGACTCGTACTCTCTAGTATTTTGTGAACAAAATGTAATAAATGCCACTGCCCTAATTAGTTACTCCACCCGGCCTCGTCACGCATGATACATACTGCCAATCATCTCCGTCTTTTAAAAGTAACATTTTTAGTTGAAAATTCTCCGTCTTCACCAGGCGGAACAGAACAGGAGACAGTTAAACCCCGTTATCCCGGTTGGAACAGAAGAGTAGGGCTCAATATTTTCCAGAATATTTGAAATGAAACAAAAAACGGAATTAGAATTCAATATTGGTCTATGTCAATCAATATGGATGTTGTTATCCTGTCGTGAAAATAGGATCATAATATCCAATATATCAGATACAATGAACATTTTATAATCATTACACGAGTGGTGTATTCTACGGTTTCGAGCGCCATTTATAATAAAATAACACACTATTTATGGATAACAATTACTGTGGTTTCGTCTATTTTAGGGGGTTGCATGGCAGAATGGTTAGCGCGTGCGCGTTAAGTCAATTGGCGTGGTTTCGATTCCCCGGTTGTACGTGACACGGAGGAGGATCGCCTTCCAACCTCGTGGGTTTTCTCAGGTTTTTCCCACTGCTAAAGACCCCTACGTGAAAGCGAATTGAACCATAAAATTGAACCATGTTAGTCCCGAAATGACCTAGTTTGTGTTGAGTGGACGATAAACTCTCTCTTCCCCCCCTCTCTCTCTCTCTCTCCCCCCTCTCTCTCTCTCTCTCTCTCTCTCTCTCTCTTCCCTCTCTCTCTCTCTCTCTCTCTCTCTCTCCCCCTCTCTCTCTCTCTCTCTCTCTCTTCCCCCCTCTCTCTCTCTCTCTCTCTCTTTTATTAGATTCCATTTCATTTCTCCAACTTTACATTTTATCTTTCACAAGCGACCTGCTGCAGTTGTGTTATAAATAATTAGCCCGAATCTATAGATGATGTATATCAGTTTGTATGATAACTGATACATTAATTAGTAACAATTATTGAGTAACTGTATAATAACTGATACATTAATTACTAACAATTATTGAGTAACTGATCACGCAATATCACCATCCTTATTCCTGCTAATCACCGACAATAATCAACAAGAATGTTTTAATATTTTTTATCAATATCGTCAAAAACGGACAGAAATGAAATGAGATTTAACATGCTGTTGTTCTGCCCCGACTGGGCTAATGAAGACTGGCATACATGTACGCCATACAGTGTTCTATGTAAGAAATTTTGCCGGCGTTCTGGCCTACTCTTATTTCGAATTCAAACTCTCAAGGGTTCTTTTATATACGTACTCGGTTTTTGTCCTATCCGAAAGACTATACGTTGTCACTTGCCAGGCCCTCAACAACACTGACAAGGAGGGACCACGCTGGAAAATCGTTGTCTAATCGCTCGGATAGGACGAAAACCCGAAGTCCCGCGTACAGATTGGCGGGCACGTAAAAGATCCCTTGACAGTTGGAATTCTATATACGAGTAGGCCGTTACGCGTCTTCATTAGCCCAATCGGAGCTGACAACCCCATTTTATTTCATCTAACCACGTGTCATTGTCAAAGTGAACAGGCATGTGTGTAAGATCATGGAATGTCAGCTGCGCAGGTGTTACATAGAGAAAGAGATGACACGTGATTTGAACACACACGGCCAGTATCCCAGGTTCAAATCCCGTCATGGAATAGGAGAGAAATGAAATGAAATGGGGTTTAACGTCCTACTGTTTTGCTTCGACTGGGCTTATGAAGACAGGCATACGCCATACAATGTGCTATGGGGGGGAGTGTGTCCGGACAGCGGCGCTACGGCCTACTCTTATCGAATTCCAACTGTCAAGGGATATTTCAAGGGCTGTTTTCCGTGCTCGCCATGAATGAGTACACGGGACCTCGGTTTATCGTCCCATCCGTTTGACTAGACACTGTCATGCCCTCTATGCTGCGCCACTGACTCAGCGGTATGATTTAAAAACAGTTGGCAAAAACGCAGCAGCCCGGACATTTTTTTTTACTAGGCCACAGCATGGCGTATTCCCATGTTCATTAACCCTATTGGTGGGGTAATGTAGGACTTTAACCTACTAACGTCTACATATTAATTATTCCAATAACCGCGTGGCCGTCCATATGAGAATCATATTACTTGTACTTACTATAAAGACGACACGAAGGCGTTCTGTGTCTGTCTCTGTGTTTACGTCTGTCTCTGTGTTTACGTCTGCCAATCAGCTGATGAATAAATAAGCGTGCACTATATAAAATATCGACACTTTTCCCGTCTTATTCCTTATGCCGGATAAACGACCAAGAACGACAACCCATTAAATAAATAACAGTCCTGACACACTTCAATAATATCGATTAACACAGCTGAGCTATTAAAACACAATCAGGAACATCCAGACCCACTCAAAGAATCAAATTCTCCAAACCTTCACTGTTTAAATGTTTATAAAGATGTACACGTAGCGATGGTACTATCGGCTATTACCCACAACCAGGAGCTGGTATCGACGACGTCAAGAAACAACTGGAGCATTGACACGAATAGATCACACCAGAAAACGTCAAAAACAGGATAAAATCGTCCATTAATTGTTAGGAATCTTAGCGCTAACACTCATCCATGTCGTGTTTTTGATGTGGTTTTTATGCTGTCAGCTGTAAAATGTGTTTCGTCTACAGGATTAAATCTATACCACATCCGTGTTTCACCCAGTCGCCGTAAAACCCCCTACATAATACCAGTCTTATTATCGATTTTTACTTGCGTGTAAAATGGTCGCCAGCTTCCAATGAGATGATAAGTGTATGATTACGTTAATCAACAAACTGCAGCAAATTGTCAAGATGGCCTTACCAAAATTGATTTAATCATTATCAAATAATCTTTGCCAAGTCCGGATCCGCAGTGCCCCAGTGGACAAGACGCAGACGCATTAACTAGAAGATTCCGATGTCCTTAGGAGTTAGCGTGTTTTCCCTATGGCTATACGCGTGTTGATAGGATGGAGGGTATGCCGAAATGGAAATGAAATGGGGTTTAACGTCCTACTGTTCTGCGCCTTCACTGGGCTAATGAAAACGGGCATACACCATACAGTGTGCTATGAGGGAAATTTTGCCCGGGCAGCGGCACTATGGCCTACTCTTATATCGAATTCCAACTGTCAAGGGATCTTTTACGTGCACGCCAATGTGTACACGGGACCTCGGTTTTTCGTCCCATCCGAACGACTAGACAGCTGTCCTTGACAGCGCTGTCCTTGACAGGCCCCCCGTCCTGCATCACTGACATTTAAGGGGAAACCACGTCGGAAAATCTGAATGGACTTTCTCGGCCAATGCAGGGATCGAACACCCGACCTCCAGGCAAGCTAGCCAGCGTCTTACCCACTTAGCCACCGTGATCCCCACCGAAATGGCACGGTGTCTAGTCGTTAGGATGGAACGAATGACCGAGGTCCCGTATACACGTAAAATAACCATTGATAGTTGGAGAGAAAAAAAAATGGGTTTAACGTCCACTCGACACAGACTAGTTCATTTCGAGACTTAAACATGCATTATGCAAGAGCTAAATCTGATTATTGCAAGTCTTAATTTAGGCTTCAGATGTTATAGAAATTATAAATTAGATCTTTATTTAAACAACAAGACCAAAATCAACTCTGTAGACCCACGGATGGCTCGGCTACAGCTCGGATTTAAATAGGATTTCACTAATTGATTAAATCAGATAAGGGGTAACCTGATGAAAATACGTCAGTTAGATCGAGGCTAAATGATAGAGTGTACTTAGCGAGGCCGCTGTAAAGCGTTTCCGAATGCCATTGAAAACTTTACTTGATAATCGAGATATGTAGGTGGAGTTAACGCCTGTCAATCAAACGATCGGCAAATATTACAACGATGATAACTATGTTCAGAATAAAGTAATTTGACTTAATTTTTCAATATATTCTTCTTTCATCATCTACTTTTGAACTGTTATAGCAAGAATGGCCAACTCTCTATAAAAATCTCCCATAATGTATCTTTAAGTCTGGTTCAATTGCTGTGGATGGCGATCCGTATACCCATTGTCACGTATAAATAGGGAATCGAAACCACACCATTTTACTCAATAACAGACCTTTTGATCTAACGCACACACGTTAAACCATTCGCCCTTCGCCGCTTGATTTTTGGAATTCGATAAAGGGTAGGCGGAAACGCCACTGTTCGAGCAAAATCCATTAGTCCGGTTGGTGCGAAAAAAAGTAGGACGCTAAACCCGTTTCTGCTTCAGTGGTCATTTACTTCGAGAATATGTGAATTGTTATTTGCCCTCCGTTTGTTATCGGAAAATCCCCCACCTTCATTAGCCAAGCCGGAGTAGAACCGTAGGACGTTATGCACCATTTCATTTCATTTCATTATCAGAAAAACCCTGTTTTCATTAGCCAAGCCGGAGCAGAACATTAAGCACCATTTCATTATCGGAAAAAAATGAAAACGAGAACGAAAAAAAACATTAAAGCTACAATTTCATATTTTTAAGTTATATGTTTAAAATGTATTAAATAAAGCCTTAAAATCGATGCTATGTATAAACAGTCCTATCTTGATAAAAAATAATTCTATAATTCACTATTGCCAGTTGAGAAATTGGCAAAAATATCATTTTCAACTTCAAATTCAAACGTTTGAAGAGAGCTATTCCATGTTAGGGAATAGAAAAACAAGGGAGGTAATAGGAGGTAATTGTGTTATTATTTCCGGTGTGACACATTTTTGAGTGTGAGAATGATAACTATGATCGTATAATAATGAGTTGACAACCTATTTGAGCAAAAGACATAGAAATAATTATGTTTTGTCTTTCTTAGAAAATATGAAATTCTAGCTTTAATGGCTCGCATAATTAGAGCTGTCGGCGA